GTGTTTTTTCTTTTAATAAGTCAGATTTGTCACTGACCCGATCTTTAGGAGGTGAAGCTAAAATCATGTTTGGTGCGTGAAAGTGAGACTTTTTATTTTTGTAGTTTTTCACTAGGCTATATTGTATTCTCTTCTAGAGTTCAATAACAGATTTCTAAGTACTAAATTTCACAGAACATCTTCTTGTTGTGTTCACAAAATTTGGATTAATTTATCAAATTAAGGATATCATTTTTTATGATTAGATATATTTTTTTGTTTCTAAATTATTTAAAAGAATCGTGTTTAATTATTAAAATAAACTATATACTTATTTTATTTTAATATTGCATAAAAATAATGTAAAATATTTTTTCTAATAAACAGTACATAGATAGTATACTATAATATATGTTGACTTTTATGAAAGGCAAGGACAAAATATTATGTAATTTAATTAAAAATAAAATATAATTTTATAGAACATTTTGAAGACAAAAAACTTATTTAGTTTTATTTATTTTATGCTATTTATAAACTTTGTTCTTGATTTAACAATATTATATTATTGTTTTATTTATTTTTAGTTCAAGAGAAACTGTAAAATTTTCTACCTTTTCTAAATAATTCCTTAAAAATAGGATTAATTAGTATCATTTTGTAATAAACAGACTAAACAAAATATATTATAAAACACAGAAATGAAAAAAAGGACATATAAAGATAGCTACGCTATCTGAAAATATCATCGTGTTCAAAGTTTCGAAACGCCATGTCCACTCTGCAACTTCACTCCGCTCCCACTTCTTCCTCTTCGTTCGCTCCGATCACCAGTTCTCGCTTCTTCCAAACCTCTCGCGTCTCGCTCCGAAACGCCGTCGTAAGTGAATCTGCTTCCGATTCTCTCGTTTTCTTCGCTCTATTTATGGAACTGTTTAAAGGAACGCGCGTTTCTTCAGCGCTGCAAGGCGATAGAAGCAGTGCAATTGGAGAATGGGAGGCCGAGCGCCAGCGAGTTCGTCGTCAGCGGAAACGCGATTCCGAGCTACGTCGTGGCGCCGAACGCGCGGATTCGTGATTTGGTTCACCGGAGCGACACGCGTCTGAGAATATTCTCCGGCACCGCCAATCCCGCGCTTTCTCAGGTCGTGCTTTTTCTTGAGCGATTTGTTTTGTTTTTGGACATCTGGAGTAGGAGAACTAGAGTTCGAATATGTAGGAAATGAAATGATGAAGAGAAATTAGAGTTCATGTAGGAGACTTTAACGTCGATCGTTAGGTATTTTTAGTGTTGATAAGCGATCAGAATAAAGCTTTGTTTAGATAACTTTTTCACGAGAACTTATGAGATAGTAAAATTAATAATATAAAATGAATTAAACTTCTTTCATAAGTTGATACCTCAACTTTTAGATAAGTTAGACGAGAGAACTTTTGTAAAAGTTAAAATACCGAAGTTGTTTGAACATTTAGGAGAAACTCAATTCGTCTTGTCTCTATTTTATTTTTTTATAAGTGTTTATGGATAAGTTTATTGAAATGAAGTGTAAGNCGAATGGGTTTCTTTTCGCCAATTTCATCTTCCCCTTTTGTTTTCTGTTCATGGAAAGTTTTAAATTTTAGGTTTTTTTCATGTGGGCTTTGAGGAAGAGTGTTGAATGTAAAATGGGTTTTCTGCAATTGTCTCAAATAACATGGTGACCGGATGTATAACTTGATGCAGGGAATGAACTTGATTGTAATATTTTTGTTCCTTGTTTTTCATTTTTGAAATGGGGTGTTTTAAATTTTAGTTTCTTATTCTTCTTCTGTTAATTTAGGGTACGAGGAAGAGTATTGGATGTGAAATGGGTTTTCTTGAATTTTCTCAAGTAACTGGACTTAGGGACTTGGGTGTATTTCTGTTCATTTTTTCTTTCATTCTGGTATGGGTGTTTAAAATTTTGATTTTTAATGAGGTTCTAGAAAAAAAAAAAGTGAAAGGGAAATGGGTTTTGTAGAATTTTCTCAAACAACATGGTGACATGATAGGTAATTTGATGCATCGACTTTGCTTGGTTGCAATTTCTCTGTTACTTTCTGCCTTTCTGGGGTTTTTCTTCTCATTCTGAAAGTAGGGTGTTTTAAATTTTCAATTTTTTCAGTATTGGGTTCAAGTAATAGACTTAATTGATTGTGAAATGGGCTTGTAGCATATGATTTTTGCAGGGACTTAACATGTGTGTAAATTATTATTATTTTTTTATTTCAATTTGTTTAGGTATAATGATACGGGGTTTACTGTAAATGGGGTTGAATATGAAGGAAGCTTGCTTTGTGTTGGAAATTTGCTCATGTCTTGGAAACCTAAGAAGTTTTCAGAGATCACAGCCGATAGGTTTGTTTGTTCTATGTTCCTTGTCTCTTCTTCCTTATCTTTGTTAGCAGCACTTCTCTTCAAATAAGCATTTGATGCATTCTCCTGTTCCTCTAACCCTATAATAGACTAAGCTGTTTTTATTTTTATATCGTTTCCTCTTCTTGAACAGTTTAGTGGTTATGTCCTGAAGTGATCCTTACGCCTAAAGTTGAAGACAGAAGTGGTACTGTGCTGGGCTTATTGACTTCAAGTCCCCAAGGTTTCCAATTTAACCTTTGAAGTTTGAAGAAAAATAGAGAAAAAAACGAACTTTCCATGTAGATAACCTTAACATTTCTATAAGCAGAAAATAATGAAGCAACACAGGTTATAAACCGATAGTCAATCTGTCAGTGTTTTCTTTATCAGTTTTGAAACCTGTAAACGGAATTTCCACTAAAAGCTAGACATTGTTTCCATCTCACAAAATGGCATTGTGAAATGGTTGCAACATGAGTGAAATCATGCACGACATGCTATAAGAACTTAGTAGTGGCCACTGTCACTGTTATGAAATTGTCTAGCTTAATGCTGGCAGATGACTACCAGGAGAAACCTTAAACCTTGCTATGCTATCACCAGTTGCGCTTAGCCTCACAATGAGAGCTTAACCGAGTAAACACCACTCTTAATCAAAAGGAGAATTGTGAAAAACTTCTGTGGACAAAGGAATAAGAAATCACTAGTCCTATCGGCAAAAAAAGTATCCACAATTGTGGAACATACATTAAATGAACTTAAAACACTTTTAATCTGAACTTGATGACCTAGGCAAAAGCAGCCATGCAAAACTATGGACTTGCAAGGTTGCTTGGATAAACTCCAAATCAGGAATGAATGAAGAACTTGCAAGGCAAACACCTGTGTCAAAATGTATTCAACACCAAGTGACATGACATGTCAAGCTCTTGCATGTTTTGGCATGTGAACAGCTGGGAAGTAAACTGATGGTGCTTTGTGCATGGATGACGAACACTTCTGATTCTCTGTGGTTCTTTATTTTCTGTATTTTGTATTTGCTTGCTTTTCTCTCATGCATTCCTTTTCTTCCCAAAGTATTTGTAGGACCCATTGTTTTCTTTAATCTTTTGATTACCACTTTTAAATTGCATTACTTGGATTCCTTTGTAGAGGGAGGGTATTTATAATGTGTTTATTATCCTTCTTGAATCGTTATTTTGTATATCCTCAGAATTGAGCACACGATAAATGGATGATAACATCTGATAATTGGCAATTATTAATTCTACTTCCAGTTTAAAGGATGTGTGCATCGTAGTGTAATAGTTATGTAATGAAACATGCAGAGAAGCGACAAGAAGTAAATGCAATATAACTTTCTAGTTTCATCTCTGTTTAGGGGAAAAAGCATTATGTTATCTTGCTTAATATGTTATCTTGTCTCTTCTTACAGCTTGTCACTCTTCCAAGTTATTCGCCCTATTCCAGGTAGGATTTTTTAGTTTTGACATCATTTTGTTTTTGCTTAACATTCTGTTTCTTCCCACATTTTGGTGAAGTTCTACTTTTCCTTTTATATTTCCCTTTTAGGGTTAGGTAGGACATCATATCTTTTATTCCCTGATGAATAATTAATGAAATGCATGCTTTAACTTTCTAAATCACTTTAGAAGTGGTTGACATACTTAAACAGGTGGATCCTATACATGCAATACATTGAAGTTAGTTTCATTGTAAATATGTATATTGTTTGTTGTAGTTAGGACCTTAAAGTGGATACATATCTCTCTCAAATAATGCAAATTAGTAGAAGTAATATCATTTCAATTTGTTGTGTCCTATCTCTATTTCTCTTTTCTTATCTTTGATATATTGTTCCATATACAGCTAATTACTTTTAGTTAATTTCAACACATTGCCTTTTCTTAATATATTATTAATTGAACAGCTTGATTGGCCTATTTAATTGCTTTTGATCTATATTCACTGACTCTTGGAAAAATTATTTGCCAGAGATTTTGATTCTTGGCTGTGGAAGGACATTCAACATGTAGATCCTGAACTGAGACGGTTTATTCGATCTACTGGCATGAAATTAGAAGCTGTAGATTCGGTATCTATATGATTTATTTGGTTTGAGACTTGTGCTTGATTTTATTAGTTCATCTTACATTGCTGGTTTGGTACTCATTATTATGTTTTATTAAGTAATCTAAGTAAACTAGCACTTAGGAGGTCCTTGTAAGTTGTGGGTATAGAGGGAGGCATCAGAACTATTAAACTTGTTTCTAAGATTTAGAAAGAAATGGGTTTAAGAGGATAGACCAAGACTAGAAAAAATGAGACGAGCTTCTCTGAAAGTTAATTTGACTTTTGTGTAAAATAAAAAAAATGAAAATTTAGAGAAGGTATATGAAAGAACTTCTACAAATTAGTTGATGCATAAGCTAATTTTGAACTTATGGAAAAACTCATTTCAATTTTTTCTTATCTATCTCTTTCAGAAGTTTTTAAATGGTTAGTCCAACAGTTCATAATATAAGCATGATGGTACAAATGATTAGTGGAAAGTTTAATTTTGACCTACTGTTTTAAAACTAATTTACATTATGTTAGTTTCGGGTGGAAATCATAACGCTCTCGTCATACAAAAGAAACAAAGAAAGAATGGATTTCTGTATTGAAATTGAGAACAAAGTACACTATAGTGTTAATGGAGGCCTTCCGCCTAACTAACGAGCTACCCCTCTTCTGGCCATTGTCCATTTACAACATAATCTTCAATAATCCCCCCCACGAATTACCAAAAGCTTATTTATACTCATTTCTCCCATGAACAGCCTACAAACCTTCCCGCTCGTTTACTCTATCCAAATCAATTACCCATTATACCCTGCCACCCCACCCTATCCTTACACATTCTCATTCAACCATATGTTTTCATATCACTGAAAGATTGGATAGAAACTTCCAAATGTAAACAAAGTTTATAGTACCAATGTAATCAAATGATCCTGGGAAATATATGTTTTAAAACTAATTACATTATCTTTTATAATTGTCCATTTTATCATTATCAAGTTTGGTAGAAAGTGCATCTCATGTGTAATATTACTGAATACTGAATTTAATATATGGTATTAATACCTTAAGACTTATCCATGCTATTATTCTCATCCAGACAATTCCAAATGGTGTAAGAAAGAAGTCAAACAAAATTGATACTTTAACTGGTTCTTTGACTTTTGAATGTTACATGATTTGTTTATTATTCATCAGAGTTTAGTTCTATGCATATCAGTATAAAAGCCTTTTACACTTCCAACTTACTAGAAGTTACCACCCTATTTATGACAACTTTTTTACCATGCATGGCAATCCATAACTTGATGACTGCAAAAATCTATACTACCGGTTATGCTAATTAAATGCTTTTGGACTATTTCACAGAGGAAATGCAGCATTCAACTTACAACATACTGAATGAGAAGTCGAATGTGGCTGCTGCCACTTCAGTCCACATGGAGTTTCTGCATGAAGCCTGGACCTGTTCACGGTCCATGCCATTAGAGGATCTTAACCAATACTTTAGACATGCTGTTAGTTATATTCTCTTTTTCTTTCTTCCTTCGTTTTTTTCCCGCAAGTTTTGACAAGCAATAGCACAATGTGAATCAAACTCAATCTTATCCTTGATGTCTGCTAAGGCTTTCAAAGTTAATAAAGAGAATTGAAATTGTATAGACTGACAGCAATCCTGCAATATTTGGACTTAGTTACTTAAACAGTTGTTTGGCCTTGAATGCTATCTTATCAGTTATGCTTCTACTCAGAGTTAATACTATCTTTAACTTTCTCAAGAGTTAATATCTATTTTACTTTCTCAAGAGTTGCAAAGGAAATCGGCTTGAATCAAACCTTAACTTTTACGGTTTATAAACCCTTTATGGTTTGTCTGGATGAGATAAAGGAAAATGGAAAAGATCATATGCTATTATGCGTGCTTGGACGATCTCCATAGAACACTTTTTTGTATAGAGTAATGATAGTTCTCCATGAAAGTATTTGTTACAAATCTAGCAATATTGGAGTTTAACATCATTTAACTTTTTCATTTTGAATTGTATATAGAGTTTAACCTTGAATTTTATTTAGATTTTCAATTAAAAAAATTTTATCTTTTTTTAGATTGTAAGAAAAATTTATAATTAAAAATGAGTTAAATCTGTTTGACCATCATCTCACATGATCAGATGAGTTTTAAATTTTTAGACTCGTTGATTAGTTCACTAAATAATTAATTCTTGATGAATTAAATCATGTTGGTGGTAATCTGGGAGCCTTTTTAAAATGACCATTTTACCTTCCATAAAAATAACTTTTAAAATACATGTTTTGGAAACTTTTCAAAACTTTTTGGAATAAATTTTTCGAAATTTTTTGAAAAATAATTCAGAAAAAGATTTTCGGAACAAGATTTTCGAAAACAAATTTCGAAATGAGACTTTTAAAACAAAATTTTCAGAACCCATAAAATGTATTACAAAATTATCTTTCCGGAACGAATAAAATGCATTTCGAAACAATTTTTCTAGAATTCCTATAATAAACTTCAAGAATGTAAATAATGTCTTCCGGGACAAATTTTTCGAAACAGCACTGCATGGAATATGTTTCGGAAAGAACTTTTCGAGTGTAATTGGAAATTTTTTTCTCTGTGAAGCTCGTGATTACTAATTGCATCCAATACTATAAGTAAAAAGATTAAAATATCCTTTCTTGTTGTATCATGTTACTGTTGTTGTCGACGCGAGGGGTAAAATAGTTATTGTCTCTCCTGTTTCACTTTTTCTGAGGAAGAAGGGAGAAAGGGGTAAAATAGGGGTTTTGTTTGGAGCTTTTTTAAAAAGTTCAATTAGGAAGATAACATATATGTTTTGGAAAATGTATATTGAAAATCTTATTACTAACGGATCTTTAAAAATACTTTGGAGTGCGAAAATTTATTTATAAAGTATAAAAATTTGAGGATCAAATTAATAAAATTTTAAAATATATTTTTATTTTTATATTAATTTTTGTTTATGTAAAGCCCGTATTATGCTCTGCCCGCTTCTTTTATAAATTCTATTTTAAAATGTATTTCACATGTTCACCAATAACTTAAATATTTTTTTGGTTTTAATTTTGTTAAATTTATTCAACATGAGACCCATTTTTTTATGTTCAATGACATCAAATTTTGTAATTTATGTTCAGTTTGATCTTTGTTATGACACTGTTTAAATTGATAACTGTAGACGATACATATTGGCAATGTTTGAATGAGTTGTCAAATTATTGCTTATGCGATTGTCTTGTATATTGAGAATTGTTTACGTTGTCATCGAAGTAACTTCGTTTCTCTAACATCATGATGTATCAGATTCCACCATCATCGCAAGTGCAGCACCAAGAGGAACCACGAACCACCTTGCGCCACCCGTGTCTTCATGTTATTTCTTCCACCTGCATTCCGAGCCATCGTAAGCCTTCAACGCAAAATCGCAAATCCATTCTCTCGAAGCCCCTAATCGCAAAATGCAAATCTAAAATTGAAACACCATGAGACAAAAATAGCAATGAACCACTAACAAAACGAGACAGCAATGCAAGCAACAATTTAACCACTATTGAACCCTAAATTACAAAACCCCAAATCGTGAGCTTCATAAGATGAACCACCTCATGAACGCAACTCACCGTGAGTATCGAACCACGTTGTCAACAACCATTGGAGCCACCACCAGAGCATCTTCATTCCTCAACCACCATGACACATCAAAATTCACCACCATCGCGAGTGCAACACCAGCAAGGAAGAACCATGAACCAACTCGCGCCACTAGCGTCTTCATGCTATCTCCTCTACACTTTGAATCGTCGCTAGCCTTTAATGCAAAATATGAATCTATCTTCTCGAAATCCGTAACCGCAAACCACACACATCTAGTACACATCTAGTACATATTCAGAATTGAACCACCACTAGATCAAAAATAGCGACAAACCACCAATAAAACATGACAACAACGCAAGCAACAATTCAACCACCACACCTCATGAACGCAACTCACCGTGAGCCATCAACCATTACAGTAGCATCAATATCGTGCCACTGAAAACATGAAAACTTGGATAAATAAAAAACGCATATGCACCACACACACGAAGAATACTTGCATCAGAAGTAGACAAGAGCATTTTGTGACTTAGACGAACGAGATTTATATCCTTGTCATGGTCTATTGAATAAGTTTCGTCAACCATGTAAGCAACTTTCATTGTGGAGGACGGAAGCAACCATTCATTCAAATACTATCAACGTGTATAATCTGCCGATTTATACAACATGATAAAAGTGACTAAACTAAATATAAATTATAGAATTTGAGAACACGTTAAATATTAAAAAAAACATTTATATTGAGCGAAAATTGAGAAAATAAAACCAAAGTATTTAAGTCTTCCGGGAAATATTTGATATGTTTTAGAAAACTTATTCTAGAAATTTCGTTAAGAAAACTTTTGTTTCAAAATATATTTCATACATTCTTGAAAGGGAAAGCTTGTTCCAGAAATCTTATAGAGATTACATAAGTGCAGCTAGAAAGTACGTTTGATTGAATATAAAAAAACGTAAGGCATTATCGTGTCCTCGTTTTATGAAATTAATAGGTTTAATAATTTAGAATGTTACTATTTCTGTACGTTAATCTCAAAGTCATTGTATTTTTTTTTCTTAATTAAATTTCTATTTTTATAAAATTGAGTTTTTGGAACAGTTATCTTGTCATGATTTAAAAAATTTAACGTCGTTCCGTCCAATTAAGATTATAATTGACTCAATTTTATAAAAATAAAAACATAATTGAGATAAAAGAAAATAGGAGACCAAAAATAAAAACAAAATTAATGTTGTAAATTATAGACAATAAATATTTAAAACCTAATTGGTTATTTAAATTCGTGAGTAGATATTTGTTTTTGATTTTCTGTTAAATAGGAACGTGTTTTTTCTTTTAATAAGTCAGATTTGTCACTGACCCGATCTTTAGGAGGTGAAGCTAAAATCATGTTTGGTGCGTGAAAGTGAGACTTTTTATTTTTGTGGTTTTTCACTAGGCTATATTGTATTCTCTTCTAGAGTTCAATAACAGATTTCAAAGTACTAAATTTCACAGAACATCTTCTTGTTGTGTTCACAAAATTTGGATTAATTTATCAAATTAAGGATATCATTTTTATGATTAGATATATTTTTTTGTTTCTAAATTATTTAAAAGAATCGTGTTTAATTATTAAAATAAACTATATACTTATTTTATTTTAATATTGCATAAAAATAATGTAAAATATTTTTTCTAATAAACAGTACATAGATAGTATACTATAATATATGTTGACTTTTATGAAAGGCAAGGACAAAATATTATGTAATTTAATTAAAAATAAAATATAATTTTATAGAACATTTTGAAGACAAAAAACTTATTTAGTTTTATTTATTTTATGCTATTTATAAACTTTGTTCTTGATTTAACAATATTATATTATTGTTTTATTTATTTTTAGTTCAAGAGAAACTGTAAAATTTTCTACCTTTTCTAAATAATTCCTTAAAAATAGGATTAATTAGTATCATTTTGTAATAAACAGACTAAACAAAATATATTATAAAACACAGAAATGAAAAAAAGGACATATAAAGATAGCTACGCTATCTGAAAATATCATCGTGTTCAAAGTTTCGAAACGCCATGTCCACTCTGCAACTTCACTCCGCTCCCACTTCTTCCTCTTCGTTCGCTCCGATCACCAGTTCTCGCTTCTTCCAAACCTCTCGCGTCTCGCTCCGAAACGCCGTCGTAAGTGAATCTGCTTCCGATTCTCTCGTTTTCTTCGCTCTATTTATGGAACTGTTTAAAGGAACGCGCGTTTCTTCAGCGCTGCAAGGCGATAGAAGCAGTGCAATTGGAGAATGGGAGGCCGAGCGCCAGCGAGTTCGTCGTCAGCGGAAACGCGATTCCGAGCTACGTCGTGGCGCCGAACGCGCGGATTCGTGATTTGGTTCACCGGAGCGACACGCGTCTGAGAATATTCTCCGGCACCGCCAATCCCGCGCTTTCTCAGGTCGTGCTTTTTCTTGAGCGATTTGTTTTGTTTTTGGACATCTGGAGTAGGAGAACTAGAGTTCGAATATGTAGGAAATGAAATGATGAAGAGAAATTAGAGTTCATGTAGGAGACTTTAACGTCGATCGATAGGTATTTTTAGTGTTGATAAGCGATCAGAATAAAGCTTTGTTTAGATAACTTTTTCACGAGAACTTATGAGATAGTAAAATTAATAATATAAAATGAATTAAACTTCTTTCATAAGTTGATACCTCAACTTTTAGATAAGTTAGACGAGAGAACTTTTGTAAAAGTTAAAATACCGAAGTTGTTTGAACATTTAGGAGAAACTCAATTCGTCTTGTCTCTATTTTATTTTTTTATAAGTGTTTATGGATAAGTTTATTGAAATGAAGTGTAAGAGTAATTAGAATTAGAGTTATACTTTGGTAGTCCATGTGATAAAAGTTTTCAATAAAAGAGAATAGGTTACCGCGGTGTCACACCAAAGATCATAAGGAATTGTATACAAGTTTGTTTGGGAAGTGAATAAAATCAATTGGTTAGGAGTAAACATGTGTTTGTTTAGTAGTTGACTTTATGTGAACACTTTACGAGACAATAAAACCATGATTTGTCTGCTTGGTTTTATGACATGAGGAAAAATGTTACTTTCATGACCTGTGTTCTGAACTTGATACCAATGAAACATGAAGAGATTAGTAAATAATAACTTGATTTAGTCCCAGGTCTGCCAAATTGGCAATAGATAGCGGTATTACATGCCCACATATTTAACACATAAATTTGTCTCGACCAAAATTGCCTGTGAAGGAGAATACCTGCAGCGAACCACAAAAATAGGTATTGGATGACTGAGACGGAGATGAAAATAGAATAGCTACCAGTCAATATTACTTGACTAAATAAGATGGCAGAAAAACAATGGATTCAACCTACACTATTGTGCTTTTCATTGATGCATATATAGGATATACATAATAAGGCAAGACCCTTACCTTAAACACTACCCCTAAAGCTGGGTACGTACAAAAGAAATAATAATAGAATAACATTACATTTTAACAACAATAGATAGGTTTCATATCATTCCATTTTATGTTAGACTGTTAAACTGTTCCTGCCAATGTCATTTCGTTATCCTTTGTTCCGTTCATTTTTCTCAATCTAAAGTTAGCTGAAGTTTTTTGTACACAGTCATTGAGTCATGTACTCACATATCAATAAATCGATGTCTTTTTTGTGTAGTAGTTGTAGTACTCAAATTTTTACATTGACACTGTATTGAAATGAAAAAACAAAAATAAACTTCAGTTGGGTATGGAATTTTTTGCGCAAACTAATTAGTAATTTTGTTTTAACATTTTAATAGTAATCTACTCTGTAATTCTGATTAGCATTGTATTTCATTGAAATGAATTCTCTAGCTTAGAGTGAGTAATTTTTTTTTCATTTGATATATTTTTTTTATGATTGCGAGAGATCACCTTGTTTTATGTTTCTAAGATTTATTTGTTTTCGCATTTTGATTACAAAACCGTTTCCTCATTTTTAATGTGCATCCAGATTTTAAAGATTTGTACAATAAACGTTGGAAACAACCTTTTGTTTTTTGTTGCTTCTTGTGCTAATAATTAAAATAGGAATTTTAAAACAAAGTGACAGTTTCGTTATTAAAAAGTGAAAACATAAAATGAAAAAAGAAAACAAGTAAATGTGCCATAAACAAACACCACTCTATTTTTTCCATTTCCTTTTGTTCTCTATTTATTTATTTTATTTTATGTAAGATGGAAACAATTGGTGTGGTTAGAAATGAATGTATGTAGTTTTATGTATTAATTTGAAGTCTTATGTTACACACATGTTATTCTTTAATAATTTACTGAAATGTTTGATTTCCATGAATTTAAGTAGGAAATTGCGTGCTACCTGGGTCTGGAGCTTGGAAAAATTAAGATAAAGCGTTTTGCTGATGGCGAGATATATGTTCAGCTCCAAGAGAGTGTCAGGGGGTGTGATGTGTTTCTTGTGCAGCCCACATGTCCTCCTGCAAATGAGAATCTTATGGAGCTTCTCATAATGATTGACGCTTGCAGGAGAGCTTCAGCAAAAAATATTACTGCTGTCATTCCATATTTTGGATATGCCAGAGCTGATAGAAAGGTCTGTTTATCAGCTTACATATGTACAGTACATTTATTGTTATGAAATTTGTCCTTCTCATTCCATCATATCCCCCCAGGATGTTTGAAATTGTGCTTTTTGTTACTTGCACAAATTCTGATGTAACTATTCATAAACCATCGTATGCCAGTTTTCTAAAGACATATGGTACACTTATGATAGAATAAACCATTATTAAATAATCTGGAAAAACGAATTATTGCATAAGGCTCATATCTCAAGCTGCTTAACCTTTAAATATGACCCATTTTATTAGTTATTGCAATTTGTGGCAATTCTAATATTGATGACTTATTCATCCCTTTGCATTAATTTATTTGTCTCAATTAGTAATGAGCCCAAAGAAGATAACATTTCTTGTATTGATAACTTTTATGTTCACCATCTTTCACTAACTCTGCCAAAAACTTAAACTGTTGGATGAAATGCATTTTTTGGTATAGATTATTTGGTTGTAAATAATTGCTTTGCTTTTTTCAAAGCATTTGTTGGAATGAGAGAAACTAAACTTCCAAATTCAATTTTGGTATAAGATGCTTTTCATCTACTGTTTCAGACTCAAGGGCGTGAATCCATTGCTGCAAAGCTTGTAGCAAATTTAATTACAGAAGCGGGTGCAAATCGTGTACTTGCTTGTGATCTTCATTCTGGGCAGTCCATGGGTTATTTTGATATTCCAGTTGATCATGTATATGGACAGGTAACGAGCTATTATGTCATTTCCATATAATGGCTTCCAAGAATAACTTTTTTTAATCTATTAAACTCAAACAAACATTCCTTGGATATTTTGTATATTTGATAGTCAGTTCAATATTTGTTTTTCGTTCAATATTTGTTTTATTGGTGCATCTCAATTCTGGACTGAAATAATACTTCTGGTGGCATGCCAATTTTATTGTTTATAATTATATGATAATTTAAGTTTGTCATAAAGAAACTTGAAATCTTGGTTTTTTTAGATGTATAGAAATCTTCTAATTTTTTTTTCTCCGTTCAATCACACATGGACTCTGGTGACTTGCAGCACTTTGTTCTCTTGTTAATAAACCTTTGAACCATCCCTTAGTATCTTCTAGTTATTTGCTGTTCTTCGTAAATTTTGGTATGGAGACCCTTTCATGCATTTTGTTGTGCCATGTGTTGTGCTGGGGCAGGTTAAATTAAACAAATTGTTATCCTAATGCCAATGTCTAATTGTAATGTGTTTGTGATCAGTAGCAATAATGAGAAGTATTTGTCTGTGCGTTAACTGCAAAATGTACGTTGAAGTCTTTGCTTGGATGGTTAGTAGTGGGTTTCTTAATGGTTGGGTTCTAAATTGATGTTCTTGGAGGATTTCATGTAGTACTGTGTTAGACTATTCTAGGGAAAAATATATAGTATTCAAATTGGTACCTGTCATTTTCTGCAAAATTTGAGATCTAATGATATGTTCACTTTGTATTGGATTTCAATAATCATGGATTAATGTAATTGAGTCATTGGTTAATCATATGTTCTTTTGTGCCACTGCCAGCCTGTCATACTTGATTACCTTGCCAGCAAAACTATTTGTTCAGACGATTTGGTAGTTGTCTCACCAGATGTTGGTGGTGTTGCCAGAGCACGTGCTTTTGCCAAAAAATTATCTGATGCTCCCTTAGCTATTGTTGATAAAAGGCGTCATGGGCATAATGTTGCAGAGGTATGATTCTTTGTAAGTTGGAGTTTAGATATCTTTACTAAAAGGGTTCATAGTCAATGACTAAAAATAAGGCTCTTGGTAGCTTGAAATATACAGAATTCAGATAATTCAAATTCAGTTATGATACACAAATTTAGAATTTTTAGCATGACTTAAGATTAAAAAAAGGAAAAAAATAATTTGGAGGCTCGAAAGTCCCCTCTTACTATCTTCTATTTTAATGATAGAAGTAGTATGATATAATGAGAAGATGAAAAATCAAAAAGACTGCCACTAGATAGACACTTAGGTGCGAAAACTAGGACAAACATCATAGGTTATAACAGGATGTGGTTCACACACCGTTACTTTCTACCCAGCTTTTAATACTTATTCTAACAGCATGAAATAAGAGTCTTGGTTTTCCACTTGTAAAATGATTTATATCTTTGTTATTTTTCAGCTCATGTTAAATTGTCTCATATGTAAGACCAACTATTTAAAATCTGGTCCTGGACAATACATAATTAGTTTGGCCAATGTTTGAACTAAATGACATAATAGTTATATAAAATAATTCAGTTCTTACACCCACGCACACAAACATATAACTCTAGATATTTGGAATTGCACCATCCTTGTAAATTTCAAGTATGAGAAAAATAGTGTACACTTCATATACAACATCCTTTTCATCATCAAGGTTTACCAATTGATATGTTTCCACAAATAATTTAAAGTTATTTTATTTTTATTCACAATTATTGGATATGTAAAACTCCTCCTGTTAAGTCCTAATCAATGAACCTACAAATCCCATCGAGTTGTAGCTGATTCAATTCAGGTAATGTAGACATTCCTTCATTTTCAGTCTGAAGCATTTTCAGTTTGTATGAATTTTTTGGAAAAATATGGCACAATTTGTTGTCGTTCTTTGTCACATTGCACGAATAGATTTAGCAATACAATAAGAACAAAGCCTTATCCCACTTGGTGAGATTAGACATTGGCTCGGTTAGAGTCTAAAACTTTAGGAAAGGATAGATTTAGCAATAATGCAATTTAAATTTTGTTATTTTTCTGACAAAAAAAATACTGGTTGAACATTACTTAATTTAAAACAACCTAGTGGTAGTGTACTATTTCCTAGTTCTTCCTACGACTGTTTGGTAAAATTAGTTGAAAGGTGGACTGAAAGTGGGAAAACTAGGGTAAGAGTTTCTAGTTAAACTAGTTAATCAACTAGCTAGTAATTGTCAGATGACAGATAAAAACGTGATTAAATCGATAATCTAAAAAGTGTAGTTATAAACTTGGTTTGCATTTCCCTCACAAAGTCATCTATGATCTGGTAACCACTGCTTGGAAGTTTTATACATATATATACCAATTTGTAGACAGTTGGTTTTTAGTAACCTGAATCAAGTCTGGTTCTTGGGTTTGTCCTGGGCTTCCCAGATTGAGCATTTTGGGACAGTTCAATCCAGTCAGAACTTGTGGCAAGTTCCAAATCAGTTACCAGACAAGTTTGGAGTTTTAAAACAACGCCTAAGACCTTTGATGGGTGGCCACTGACCAATATTATTCCCTTACAATTGATGATAAATCATAGTTTATAAACTATTGTTCTAAACTAAAGCACCTTCTAGGATTTGTCTTGTGATTGGTTGAATCTCATCTTGCAGGTGATGAATTTGATAGGTGATGTAAGGGGAAAGGTAGCAGTTATGGTAGATGACATGATTGATACTGCTGGTAAGTCAGTAAAACTCTTTATTTGCTGGAGCGAATGATGATAGTTTGTCTCTGATCCTTATAATCACTTTGATTTGTTCCCAATACTTGTGCAATATCTTTTTCCTCCCTTTTTCTCTCCTATTTATGGTTTTTTTCAAGTAAAATGGATTAATTTTCTTATTTTTCGTGGTAAATGGTGTGAACTTCTGTTGTCTAGTACCCAAAGTAACTATAGACACCAACAAAATCTTCATTTTAGCTTCAATAAAGATAATTTTTAGTTTGAGAATAGTAAAGTTGGATGTCTTCTGCTATTGATTTTCAATATGTTTTATGCAGATACAGTTTCTTTTTACTTTGTTTTGTTGTTTTTTTTTCTTTTAGTTTTAGTACACAAATGAAGAAATATAGTGGTATTCTGTTTATATAACATATTTTCGGCTCCTAATATATTCTTTATATCTTTGAGTTTTTGAGTTAAAAACAAGGTTTCCCTTGCTATCTTTCTCTCATTAAAGAAGTCGGTTGAAGACGAGGAAAGGAATTACTGGTTGTTTGAACCCGTAGTTATTGCTGTTGAACATTTGGTGGTAGATATATGGAAACATAACCTTTCTCCCAAAAGGATAGGAATGTATGTGTTTAGCCTGCTATTTTGGAAACTATTTTGAATTATTCTCTATAAAATTAGTTCAAGCAGAAAGAACGTAACAATGAGATTTTTTATTTATTTGCATAGTTAAGTGAAGTTAGTCCTTACCTTCTGATAATTACTTGGTATGCTTTACTTTGGACAATGAAAGAAATATGATTGAATTTAGAGTTCAGAGCTGTCTTGTTGGAGGACATTATTTAGAGTAGATGTTAGTAACTTTTGATGTTGCATTGGGTTGCCATAGTGGTGCATATGTGAAATTCATGAATTTGTGACTTAGTAATTAATAAAAAACTTGAATTGAATTGTCATTCTAATTAGTTATTTACTGTATTATGAATTGTTTGAGCCCTTATTTGTACTTCCCCTTGTCTTGGTAGTAGTTTTTTTGGTGAAAATAAATGCTTGCAGATAATTGTGGAGGTAACTTCAATCATTGAGTACTTGAATTTTTATACTCTAACTTAATCTTGTGAATTTAGTACAGATTTACAAAACATTGAAATTCTATTCAGAATGTTGAATCTGTGCTACCTCTCTTCTAAAATGGCATTATCATGGTTGGAGTTAAAGCGAGAGAATCCAAATTCAGTTGTATTTGATGTTGTGACATCCTTTTTCTTTGTCATTCCGTGACATTGGCATCAATGCTTCTATCTTCACATTTAATTAGATTATAACATGATATATTTTCTAGGTCAGTTCCTTTTCCAGAGTTTTGAGTGAAATAGGCTTAAGCTTGAGCGGGCATGTTAGACATGAAAAGTTATTACTAGCTCTGTATCTAGCAGCATAAACTTCAAAGAGTTAGCTCCTTGGTATCATACATACCATTCTATTCTTTTGTGGTGATTATTTTTAGCTGAAATTTTGTGTAGGGATAGCTTACACTTCTAAGTGTTTTGTTTATTTATGTATTCTTTTATTCAGCAGTATGACTTGTTTGTCTTATCAATTGTTCTCAATAAAATTTGGCTGTCTTGTAGGGACTATTGCCAAAGGGGCAGCTCTGTTGCATCAAGAAGGGGCAAGGGAAGTCTATGCATGCACCACGCATGCTGTTTTCAGGTATAATGACTGCTATATAAATCAGTTATTTACTTTTAAGGTTGTTGCAAAACACTTCTATGGTGACATTTTGTGGTGAATCTGCAACAAGGGCCAATTATCAAAAAGATTGTTTTCTTCAGGTTTTGATTGAGTTCTTGTTTCATTATTTTGGCAAATACATGGGAAAAGAAACCAGTGGACACAAGCTGTTTTAAAATCCCCCTACATACAGAAAAAACTATGTAGTAATGGAAATGTGATTAGAGATGTTAGAAAAAGAAGTTTCTTCTATTACCCAAAGAAAATACAATCTGAGTTTCCCTTAGGATAAAATCTCCCAGTCAATCCCTTCTTATGAGGCAACATTCCTTACTTTCCCCCAATTTTCCCAGCCCCAACTTACAAAATATTTATTCTATTATGGGGGTACCTATCATGTACTACTTTTTTTGCTGTTGCTGTTTCGTCTTATGCATTGTGTATTTCCTTTGAATTTGAAAGCCAGGAAGTATTACACCGTTGGTTTCTCATTTGGTGATTAACTGATCTAAGCGGCCTAGAAATCTTTAAGTATGTGGGTACTTCTTGGGTGGAGGTGACAACCTCAATCAGCTTTCTCTTGTCCAACGTGGCCTGTATTTTATCATGAAAAAATGGATGGTAGAAACATGGATTACTAGTTCTCCTGAGGAAGTTGCAATACTCATTCAACCTTCCTAATTATTTTTCTTTATATTTTGTCCCTATGCATACCTTTTCTTTTCCTTTAGCATAAGTGGGTGTCTGGGTAGATTTGAAAACTGTAAAAGCCTTTTTGCCTCTTATATGGTGTGGGAGCCTCACTTTTCTTGTGGATAGAAAATTATTTGTATTTATATAGATAGAAAAAATTTCCAACGTTTGTTCTCCTCTTTTCCGGTGGCCTGTCATTATGGATATATGAAGTATGTATTGCAATGATGGTTATTAGCATAAATGTACAATTATATCCCTTGATGTAAGGCTGTTTTACACATGATTTATGCATCGTTCTTGTCTTTGCAGTCCTCCTGCTATAGAGAGGTTATCAAGCGGTTTGTTTCAAGAAGTTATCATAACTAACACAATTCCAGTAGCAGAACAAAACTATTTCCCCCAATTAACTGTCCTGTCGGTGGCAAACCTTCTGGGCGAGACTGTATGGCGAGTTCATGATGATTGCTCAGTGAGTAGTATATTTCTGTAAAATAAGTTTAGTTGGTTGTTTCTTATTCATGATAGAGAAAACGAGACCATCCTCAATACTCATGCATATGCATCCTTGCGTACGTACAGTATATTTTTTCAAATAAATTAATAAAAAAATCATTGTTTTATAGCTTTGGCTCTTCCTGTTCATCACTAGATTGTATTGATAATCGCATGTCGGTGGTTAGATTTGATTTCTAATAATAGTTTAGTATGTTAGCCTTTTCACTTTTGTCAAACAAAATTTCGGTTAAGATAGAAGTTTTAATTTTGTATGGGATGAAATGGTGCCAAAATTAGATTTATGTTGCAATTTTTTCCTTTTTTCATTTATCTTCCTTGTCAGGGTGGAATTGAACCTTATTCAAGTTTGGGCATTGATTGAACAATTTGTATCATTGGTAAGCACGTTCCAGCTTAAGACACTGCGGTAACAAGCGGCAAAATTGTAAAGTTCTATTATAGTGAAAGCTTTATGTTTAAGGATACCCTTATAGAGAGCTGTTTCTGGAGATTTTTGTACGTACAGAATATGTTATAGGTATTGGAAATCCACACTGGAAGTCGCATGGCGTCTTTGTTTTTCGTTTTAGTACAGATCTTTAAGTAAAAATGGTGAATTTTACTCGACGATTGGTATTGAATTGTGTGGCTATGTTCTCAGACATTCCATTCCTTGTCCTTGTGTGGTCGTAGATTCATATCAAACCAGCTCAAGCATATACTATATATATTGCATGATTTCAAGTATCCTTAAAAATAGTTTTACCTTATTTAATGACTTTTTAAAATGAAAAATAATAATGCAAAAAATCAAAGTGATCATGATTATTCTCGGAATTGACTGGACTCCGAAATTATTGTTTTATTTATTTTTCTCTGAACGGAAGTGGGCATCAGCCACAACAGAATGCCATCTTTATTATACAGTGCTCAGTAAAATGTAAAGGTTTATTGTTAACTACTTTTTTTTAGTGGAATAGTTAATTGTTAGATATAATTGTCAGTTCAAATGTTTTTTTTTTCTCCTGCTTGGATCGAGTTTTCTTTTTCTTCTTAAATTAAAGTTAATTTTTTTTAGTTCCTGTAATTTATAAATATTCACTTCTAGTTCTCATCATAAATGACGTTATAAAACCTTTGTTTACACGGCCAACATCGTATAACTCAACATGTCACTATTCACTTGACTAAGTGGAATATACACGTTTTATTTGGATGCAAACATTTTTTTTCTAAGATAGAATCTTAATTAACTTAGAGAAAGGATTCATCAGGGCACAACATCGTGAGGAGAGTATGCAAGGGGCTAGTTGTACGTCAGCTTCAATCGTGGCATTGTCATCTCATGATTGACACTATGGATGAAGCTATGGAGAGTTCTGATTGGAAATTTGGTTTTTTTTATGTATTTTAAAAGTAATTGAAATTGTCTCTGATTTTGTAGAAATCCAAAAAATCGTGCACATTTTTAAATGCAAGCAAACTTCAATACTTAATACTATATTATATTTAGATATGAGCTTGATAATTTCAGGAAAAGAAAATTGATGCTGGTTCCTTTTGATATTATCATGTTTTTTTTTCTTTTTCAGGCTCTTTTTATCGGATGTTCTGTAGGAGGTTTAGCTAATACCATTATACATTGTGAGAATTCGGGAATGTTTTCCTAGAACCCAAGAGTTAAAATGCCTGAGTATAGGTAATATTCATTGTTTGCAGATTAACAATAGCAAGTAAATTACTTTCTTGAGTCAATAACATCAATTTTTTCATTTGGTTGGTAGAGCCACTACAGCAAAACAAGATTCAAATGATCAAATCTCAAACAATTTTTTCAATGAAATGAGCTAAATTCTGGTGTCCAAGTGCTGTGTGTCTTTTTCCTTTGTTTTTTTTTTTCCTTTTCTCTTTCTGGGTGATATTTTTGTATGGCAATTATTAGTTAACTTGATGCGTATTCTGATGCATTGATATCTCTTCCAAAGCAGCTTAGTTCATAGTGCATGTTTCTGGAAGTAGTATTCTTTTAGAGCCTAATGTGCCTTTGACAAGTGATTTCTATTATATGATACTTAAACATTGATACGACCTCTGTTACTATTGTATTGTTCTCAAAAGATGTTATAAAAGATGTTTGAAAAGGTCCATAGAGAAGCTAGTAAAAGAAAGCTAGAAACATCAAAGTTAAATTCTTGATTGATTTTGATTCACCTATGAATGAGTAGGTTTATCAGTGGTGTTTATTGGGGTTGAAGGGGTTCTTTTTATAGGATTTCACTTGGATCCTAATGAAATTCAATCTCAGTGTGGAAGTTAATAACCTCAGTTTATATACACGTCTTGAGTTTTGAGCCAATTCTCTCCCACAAATAATGATTCTCCGCTTCTTTTTTTTCTTTTTTAAATTTAGTTGCAATAGGGTTTACTGTTTTAATTATTTTATTTTTCCCTTGCAGTGACATTGTGTCTAATAATCCTAAAAACGTCTTCTACTTAGCTTTCCTTTATGAAGAACTTAAAAGATGAAATTATATTTAATTTATAAGCTTTGTTATGCCTAGGGTCAAGAGTTTTGTTCTTTGTTATGAAATTATATGACTTTATATTTGCGAGTTATAAGTCAAAGAAAACATTTCATTGGCAAAGAAAATATTTAATGTTTTATTTGACTCAAACTATTCAATGTATAGATAATTTGATTATACATCTCTAATGGAGCAACATGTCATAAACGAGTTCGGAGGCAGTGGGCTGCATTTTGTAACCATTTGTAAATGATTAAATGTTTCGATATTGCATTTTGAGTTTAGAAACTATTTTATATGTAACGATGTTAAGTAACTATGTTATGTAAATATATATTTAGAAATTTTGTTAAGTAATATTATATTTTGATGTGTTAATAGAAATGATATTGATTATTTTGTTTAATATTTATTATTTAGACTGTACTATGTAATTGATTTTGGCACACGTCTAGATATGGATAATAGCACAAACAAATCAAACATTTTTAAAAAAAAAGTCATTTTTTACACCGATTAAAACAAAAACAGGTATAAAAAGCCTTTCAATTTTTACACCGATTATAAGATCACGAGGATAAAAGTAAGATTCTTTTATACCTATTCTATAACTAGCAGGTGTAAAAGTGATATCATTTTATACTTGTTTCCAGAATGTTAGGTATAAATAATATACTTTTATACCTGACGTGTAACAGGTGTAAAAAAGTGAAAATATTTTACACCTCCCACTTTTACACCAAAAAAAAAATAGGTATAAAAATAATTGACAAAAATAATTTATTTGAAATAGGCCAAAACCATATGTAAGACCTTGGAAAATGAACACCGTAACCCACCTGTCAAATCAAAATTAATGCACTAAAACCCTGCTCAGGCCATTTAAAACGCACTCCCAAACTCTGCACACTGACGCCAGGTGTCAAGAATGGAACGTTCGAAAATCAGTAGTGGAAGACAGGTGTCCGTATGAGAGTGCGCGTTTGTTTTGCCTGGGAAAGAAAAATGATTTTTTCTGAAACACTTCTTCCCACTCTCTACAAGCACCCTTCTTCCTCCTGAAACCTGACCTTTCATTTTCTCATCCTTCTCTCTAGAAAGCTTCCATCTTTCTCTCTACTGTAACTCACTACTCTTTTCTCCGATCAACATTCAGAAACTGTAGGATCGTTCCCTGAGTCGTGAGCTTCAATTTGGACCGAACAGTTTCAGAATCTAAAGCTGGTAAGTTTCTTTCCTTAGCTGTTCGTTCTTAGGTTTCATGCAAAACCAAGTTTTGGCTGCATGCAAGGGTATAGTCTAAGTATTCGATTTTCATGTGTTTAGATTAAGTTGGGATTGTAGTGATCGTGTGGATAGAAAGCGTAAGCGGGCGAACCAAAAACCTTGCTATAGAAACGTTTCAGTCCGAATCCGGGTAAGGGAAGCTTATTTGATTTAATTCATATTTTGTGTTTTGTGTGAACGATCGCTGTTTGATTGAACGAATATGGTGTATGTTGGTTGGCCTGTATGATGATGTTTGATATTTAAGAATGTGAATATGATTATCACTTTGAAGTATGAATGAATAATGTGAATTCTAAAGAATGTAAATCGATATTTGATATGAATTTATAAAGTATGAACTGATATATTGAATCCTGAGTTAGAAATAGATGAAAATTTGAAATATGAAATTCCCACTATGATAATGTACGTTCGTAATCGAACGGTCCTCTACCGTTCGGTTTTCTAGTATACAGTTTAAAATGAATTCTTTCATTCGGAAAGAACTCTGGTTGAGAACGAGCGTCCTTTTGTGAAATGCTATGTTGAGCGTTCGGCTCAACTAGTGGTATCCGAGTATCTGAAATAAAATAATAATATCTTTATACCCTCGTACTTTAATAAGTAGCGTCGTCCTATACACTAGCGTCCGTCCTAAGTAGTGCTCGTCTTATACCAGTGCTCGTACGATCGTAAATCAACCTTGATAAAATAACGTTCGTTACAACTATATAAATATTTCCCTTTTACCCATGTTTCGTCATTTACTGGCATCGGATTTCCGTTATGTGAATTACTCCAAAGATAGCTCTCAACATTCTTGGTTCTTCTCCTTACATTGGATCCGATCTAAAATCTCCATAATGGAATTATTCTTTAAATACCAGTGTGAGCTCAAACGAGTTAGTTCATTTAACTGACTCACGTGGAAATTAACGTTCGTCACAGATTTCCTTAGTTTATTTGGTCCCTTTTACCTACAAGTACTTCTCTTAGTCTTATTCTATTCTGAACAGGAAAATCATTGGTAAAATTCTTATCGTTCGTCCTCGTCCTTCAGAGGGCTAGACGTTCGTTATTTTATGTCCAGGTAACTAAGGAGTATAATAATAATAAAGTAAAGGATTATAAAGGGTGAACATTATATGGAATGAATATACGATTATGGAATTTGAACGAGCGTTCCGGGGAGAACGACTCATGTATTGAATATTGGAATTGGTAAAGTATGATTGTGGTTAGCTAATGCTGGGCAGTTCTCCTGATGTTCCGTGAGTACTCGTCCTCACGTAGAGGGGGGTAGGGGTAGGTCATGTTGGGGAACGGCAGGAGGTCCTGTCCTTAGGGGTATTGGATAGGGCTAACCTCGAGTGGCAGCTGTTGAATGTATCCCAGTTACTACATCACTCGGGGGCAAGAAGAACGCCTGTAGCTACACAGATTCATACAGTCCGGACGGTCTGTCTAGTGATAGATTTAGTATGATTATACATGTTGAACTATATGCTTGTGTGTTGTTTGGAATGTTTAATTTAAATGTTGATGTATGAATTAAATTACATAAGCTTACCCTTCGTTTTTCCTTGTGTTGTCTCGTACTTGTACGTCCGTCCTGTCATTGCAATGATCATCCGTGTGGATGTGAGCAGAAGGAGAGGCATTGCTAGAAGACGTTATTGAAGAAGAAAACCTAGTAGACGTGGAAGTCAAAGCCGAGCCCTAGAGCGTTCGTTTAATTTTAGATGTTATCTTTGTAGTTTTTGAACGTTCGGTTATTTGTCTTTGTAAAACCGTTCGTCCCGAACATCTATTAGTTCTGAAGTAATGTATGAATTTCTGTAATTAAAGCCTTTTGGTTTATGAATT